TTGCAAATGAGTCTTTTGGAAGATTCCTTTCTAAATGGTATCTGGTGGAGCCCGAGACTAGGATAAAACAGACATGAACCCAAAAGTGCCCTAGTCCAACAAGATAGGTGGAAATCCATCAGTGTGCTCGGGAAAACTGCAGACCCCAATCCAGAAGATGCTTATAAGAACTTTACATTGAATTGTTTCATGAAATGTGGGAGAAAGAAAGACAGTACTTCCAAATTAACATTTTACTCATTGTGGCTTAAGTATTTGTGTGTGACTAAATTAGTAAGTATAACCAGGTAATTGATATGTGGGTTATATTCTGGCATTTGCTTCTGTCATCGATGTGTTCTAGTTGGCCGAAAGTGGTTGGGAGGCCTCACTGGGAAAGCGGTCGCCCGGGGCCTGGGTCACCCACTGAGTAGTTTCTCCAGACACTAGCTGAGGAGGAAGCAGGTTTGTGTTCTGGTAACTGAGAAAGTTACAGGTGAGTTTCTGGACAGGTCTCTGGCAGTTCCCCAAACTCTGCTGCGTTGGGCCTCACAGCCTCTGTGGCAGGCTCTGTGGGGGTGCCAGCGTTCCCCAAGAACCCCGTGGCCCCCGACGCCGGGCTGTGGGTAGGATGTGACGAGACCGCCTTCCCGTCTCTCTCGCAGGCCGCGCTGGTGGGTGGCACCACCATGGTCATTGGCCACGTCCTGCCCGACAAGGACGCCTCTCTGGTGGATGCCTACGAGAAGTGCCGGGGTCTGGCCGACCCCAAGGTCTGCTGTGACTATGCCCTCCACGTGGGGATCACCTGGTGGGCACCCAAGGTAACAGTGCCGGGTGGAATCGCAGAACAGCTAAGGCCCCTCGAGGCAGAGGGACCATTCGATCAGAGCCAGCTGGGAAGGGGGGTGTGGGACACCCCACCACTGTCTCCTAACTCCCCCAATGCAAAACAAAATACACAGATGGGTCCATGTGGGATGGGTGGGCCTGTCCTGCTTCAAGAGCCCAGTGGACACGAGGGTGTGAGGTCAGAGGCCTAAGTGCTGCCTCCTGCTCTGACCCCAGGACTCCTGCATCTCCTGATGTTTTCTAGGTTTTTCTGGCGCCGCTGGGCTTACTCCTGAATAGAAAGTTTAGCCAAACCAGGCTCAGAGGGTCGTATCATTTCGTGTGAGGAGTAACTGAGCTGAGGTCTCAGAAGGGAGGGCCTGCCGGCTCCGCCTCCTGGCACAAACGGGCCTGTCCTTTGCTCCGGAGCCCAGCTCCTGCGCTGAGCCCTTGTGCTGCCCTGTGCGGGGAAGGCTGACTCCCGCTCTGTGCAGCCTCTGTGCCCACTTTGCCCTGGCCCCTGACTTCCCAGCCCCCGCTTTGCCCAGGCCCCAGGGTGGAGTCCAGTCCCCTCTTCTAGATCCTGCTTCCTTTCTTACCCTGCAGACAGACTCCCCTAGTTCCAACCTGCTGCTTCCCAGAGCTCCATCCGAGCCTCACCCCACTAGGACCCCACTCCTGGAACTGGCAGAGGGTGGCAGCCATGCTGGATATCAGCCATCCTGTGTCTCAAGTGGAGGTTGTGTTCAGTTTGGACTCCCTCTTGGGTGGCTGACCCTTCACTCCGACCTCTCCCTTCCCCCCCCCACCAACCCCTGGAGAAGAGCTGACCTGGAATGTGGGGTCCACTCAGCTTCTCTACAACTCTGAGGTCTGGTCATCCCTAAGTCTCCAGAGGTTGCGGGGTCTCTCCTGCATCCTGAATTTTAAACTCCTATTTTTTTTTTTATTTATTACAAAGTTTATTTTTACATCATTTTGCACATTTTTTTTTTAACATCTCGATTGTAATCCCCGCGGGTTTCCCATCACCAAATCACCCCTGTGCCACCACCATAGTCTCGTGCATTTCCC